TGCAAATAGGGAGACGGAAATAGACTGGGAAAGGTCTGAAAAATTCAACTGTATTTTTTTTAACTTTTATTTTAGGTTCAGGTATACAGGTGCAACTTTGTTATATAGGTAAACTCAACTCACAGGGGATTGTTGTACAGATTATTTCATCACCCAGATACTGCCTAGTATCCGACAGTTATTTTTTCTGATCGTCTCCCTCCTCTCACCCTCCACTCTCAAGTAGGCCCGGTATCTGTTGTTCTCCTCTTTCTTGACCATGTGATCTCAACATGTGATGTATCGCTTTCTGTTCCTGTGTTAGTTTGCTAAGGATAAAGGATTCCAGCTCCTTCTATGTTCTTGCAAAGGAAATCTCATTCTTTTCTATGACTGCATAGTCTGGCTGCATATGTATCACATTCTTTTTTATGGCTGCATATATACCACTTTTCATTTACTCAGTTAACCACTGATGGGCATTTAGGTAGATTCCATGTCTTTGCTATTGTGAATAGTGCTGCAGTGAACATATGTGTACATGTCTCTTTATGGTAGAATAATTTATATTACTTTGGATACATATCCAGTAATGGGATTGCTGGGTCAAATGGTAATTCTATTTTTAGCTCTTTGAGGAATTGCCACACTACTTTCCACAGTGGTTGAAATAATTTACACTCCCACTAACAATGTATAAGAATTCCCTTTTCTCTACAACCTGGCCAGCATTTGTTATTCTTCGACTTTTTAGTAATCGCCATTCTGACTGACGTGGGATGGTATCTCATTGTGATTTTGGTTTGCATTTTTCTAGTAATCAGAGATACCGAGCTTTTTTTCACATGCTTGTTGGCTGCATCTATGTCTCCTTTTGAAAAGTGTCCGTTCATGTCCTTTGCCCACTTTTTAATGGGGTTCTTTTTTGCATATAAATTTAAGTTCCTTACAGAGGCTGGATATTAGACCTCCATTGGAAGCATAGTTTCCAAATTTTCTCCCATTCTGTAGGTTGTATGTTTACTCTGTTGACAGTTTCTTTTGTTATGTAGAAGCTCTTAAGTTTAATTAGATCCCATTTGTCCATTTTTGCTTTTGTTGCGATTGCTTTTGGCGTCTTCATCATGAAATCTTTGCCACTTCCCATGTCCAGAATGGTACTGCCTAGGAGGTTTTCCAGGGTTTTTATAGTTTTTGGGTTTTACATTTAAGTCTTTAATCTATCTTGAGTTGATTTTTTAATATGGTGTGAGAAAGGGGTCCAGTTTCAATCTTCTCCATATGGCCAGCACACTATCCCACCACTATTTACTGAATATTGAGTCCTTTACCCATTGCTAGTTTTTGTCAGCTTTGTTAAATATCAGATGGTTATAGGTGTTTGGCCTTATTTTTGGGCTCTCTTCTCTGTTCCATCGGTCTTTGTGTATGTTTTGGTACCAGTATGACAATGTTTTGGTTACTATAGCCCTATAACATAGTTTGAAGTCAGGTAATATGATGCCTCCACCTTTGTTCTTTGAGCAATATATTTTCAATGTTCAAGTATTGTGGACTATGGCCAGTCTCAAAAGTATGGTTGTTGAAGGCTTTCACAAGATCTAGGAGGTCAAAACTATTTTCATGGCTGCGTGCAGTGGCTCACACCTGTGATCGCAGCAATTTGGGAGGCTAAGGTGGGTGGATCACCTGTGGTCAGGAGTTTGAGACCAGCCTGGCCAACATGGTAAAACCCTGTCTCTACTAAAAATACAGAAATTAGCCAGGTGTGGTGGTGGACACTTGTAATCCCAGCAACTAGGGAGGCTGAGGCAGGAACCCGGGAGGCAGAGGTTGTGGTGAGTCGAGATCGTGCCATTGCACTCCAACGTGGGTGACACAGTGAAACTCCGTCTTAAACAAAACAAAAACTATTTTCATAGGCCGGCACGGTGGTTGACATCTGTAATCCCATCACTTTGGGAGGCTGAGGCAGGCGGATCACGAAGTCAGGAGTTCAAGACCAGACTGGCCAACATGGTAAAACCCCATCTCTACTAAAAAAATATAAAAATTAGCTGAGCATGGTGGCTCGTGCCTGTAATCCCAGCTACTTGGGAGACTGAGGTAGGAGAACTACTTGAACTGGGACCAGGGAGGCAGAGGTTGCAGTGAGCCAAGATCGTGCCAATGCATTCCAGCCTAGGCTACACAGCGAGGCTCTATCAAAAAAA